CTGGGGCAGGCCCTTCCAGATGAGCGCTTCCCACAGCTCTGTGCATAGGTGCTTCTGCTGTGCAGAGGGAATCTGGGAACTGAGCTTAGAAAACTCATGAGCACTTTTGTTTTAGTCACAGCTGAGGCTAAAGATGCAGAGCCTTCAGTAATTATGCACAAAACCCACTGGAGGGAAATAGTGTGTGTGTGTGTGTGTGTGTGTGTGTGTGTGTGTGTGTGTGTTGACAGAAACACATATGAAAAGATGAAAGGCACAGAACAGAAAGGCTACTTGTCCCCTCACTGCTATGAATCCATCTGGGGGCATCAAAGCCTGTCCTCACAAGGAGTTTGCCTGAGTGTTCACAGCACTTTTATTCCCAAAGATGAACGTTTGCTTGGTCCATGGGCTCTACCTGGCTAAAGCAAAAGTGGTCTATCCATGCAGAAGAGCACCATTCCACAAATATGAGGAAAGGACACATCCTCCAGCTTGGATTCACTTCAAAAGCATTTTGCTCGGACCAGGGAGCCAGTCATGGAATGAATTCATATTGTATGTATGATTTCATTTCTAGAAAATGTTCAGAAAAAGCAAATATGATGGACACAGGAAGTAGATTAGTGGTTGCATAAAGCTTGGGGTGGGAAGGTGGAGGGACTGTAAATTGGTAGGAGGTTTCTCTCTCCAGTGATGGACACATTCTTAAATTCAATTGTGATGAAGGTTGTAAAGGTCTGTGAATGTTCTAAAAGATATCGACTTCTCTGCTGCACACGAGTGATTTTACGTTACATAAATGATTCCATATTAAAGCTGTTAATAAAAGAAGAGTGATTTAAAATTATACTAGACAGACTCATTTAGCTACCCTGGAATGAGGTGTAGTCAGAGAAAATATGGAGAATCAAGACCACTGGAGCAAAGTTTTTTCAGGAAAATATCTGCTTTCTATGCAAAGGTGTCTGGAAAGAGAATTTCAGGAGGATAAAGTAGCATATGAAAAACACGGAGGACTATGCCGTGAGGGGATGTTCAGGTTGTCTTTGTGCACTCAGGGCAGAAGGAGGCCAGTTCGCTGGGGATCAGGGCTTGAGAGACATTTGATGAAGCAAACGTGATGCCTGGCAAGGAGTCTGACATTTCTTGTTTCGAGGCCTTTGCACTGCAATGCTCTTTCTATATCCGGAGTGCTTTTTCTGTATCTGTATCTTTCTATATCCAGAATGCTCTTTCTCTGTGTTTGTTCTGAGGTCTGGTTCTTTCTTACATTTCAGACCTCACATTAAAAATACCCCTTTCACGATATGTCCTCTGATCGCCTAATCACTTCAACTCCAAAGGCTCTGCGCTGTGCTCAGCATAATTCAACACCGGAAGCATGTTTCTAATTTATTTGTTTTTGTTAAATTCATTTCAGTGCCCCATCAGATTCGGTCTACTTTATTCTCTAGAGTTAATTTTCCTGCTTTTCAGTTGTGGAAATTTGGAACATTTTACTTCTTTGACTTTCATCTTCTTTCCCCGTCTAATGTGTTGATTTGATATCCAACTGTCACTTAGCTTTTATGCGAAGATCATCACAATAGATGGAAAGTTGATTTGCAAATGTTAAATAATCTAAAAATATTGAGTTATTATCAACAGTGAATAAAGTATTGTTAATAACATTTACTAATAATTACAGTAAAAGCTTGCCTTGTGAATTTAATGAAATTTTAAATTGGCATTAATTGGGTACTGATTATAAATTACTTATTATACTCAATTTCTGGAATCTTGATTATTATATACCTTGGGGTGGATTTATTTTGGTAATTGTTATTTGGAGTTCTGTATGCTTCATTAACTTGTAGGTCAAATTCTCTATGTTTAGGAAGTTTTCTGCCATTATTTCTGAGAAGAGGTTTTTAATGGCTTTTGTGTTATGTCAAGCTTTCTCACTGATTCTGATCAATCTTATGTTGTTCTTCTTTGCTTCATGTGGTAACTGTTGGATTGGTTTTTTGTAGTTTCTTGGTATTTTTAAGATATCTTTCTTTTCATGGTTGCTAGCTGCAATTCTATCCTCTAAATTTGATATTTTATTTTTACCTTCAGTCAATCTGTTGCATATACTTTCAATGGAGTTTTTAATCTCCTGAACTTCTGTTTGGATCAGTTTTAATTACATGCCATAAATAACCTGATAAATAATAAATAACATAATACAGTATTTATTTAAGAGTCAAGGTCTATTTTATGGGCATCAATTAGTCCTCTTGTATTATGCTACAGCTTCAAATATCTGAGGATTATTTAGTCCCATATAATTGATCCAAGTTGCTGCTTAGAGAAGTTTGTGATTCCATTTAATATTTCCTCACATCTTGTTTCTTCATATCAAGCTTGTTAAAACTGTATATAAATTACAAGCTAGGGGATTTAAATGACATCTAAGACATCCCCTTATTGCTACAAAATATTCTGTAAAATGTAAAAATCCTATGAGGATTTTGTTTTTGAGGTAAAACTACCTCAGGTATAGATCACGTCTTCAAGGAGTATGTATTCTAGAAGAAATCGTAAGTCGTAAAATCCTACAATGCAAATGTGTCTCAGCAAAGTGAGTGTTTAACTTGATGGTGGATTAATTTTTATTGGGTAGGGCTCCAGGGGGATTCTGGGCAGCACAAATACTGTAAGGAAATTTAGCAAACCAGACATGGTATGGTAATAAAGGTGGTAATAAAGATAAATATTGCAAGGAACAAAAAGGAGCTAATGGATTATTTCATAAAGAATTGGCTGATGACTTAGCTGAGGCAGTGAAAAGGATGGAGCACTTCATTCCACTGACAAGCAGGTTCTGGAAACCTAATGTATGCTCTGTAGAATCAGGACTGCAATGCTGGCATGCATTAATTACACTGCAGGTGCTGTGTGGAAGTTACATAGCACCAAAAAGACACAGGGGTTGTATACCAGGAGATTAAAGGTTTTGCTTTAAATGAAGTTTTTGTTTCAAACACGTTGGCCAAATACCTCTCCAGAGACACAGGTGCACCATCACTGGATTCAGTAACTCAAAGAAATATAGGAATTTGTGATGAAGACTTGAAAAATAATGCTCATTGCAGAGAGTTTCACACCCTTTTAGAAGAGCAAAGCACTTCTCCCCAGATGAACTGTGGCTCAGTATATCATTATCTAGTGTTTTTCAATAGCCATAAAAGTTACTTGGAGTATTTTGAATTCGTTAATAAATGAAGAAAATTGAGGCTTCCATTTGCACTCTAATTGAGAATAATGCAGGCTTTTAAAATTGACTAAAGTAGATTTATTTTAGGGAATGCTTTTAGGCTTTTTAACTATTACCTTTTCTAATTTCAGTTCAGGAGGAATGTTCATATTTTTCTTTCAATTAGTACTTCAGGGCAAATACTAATTATGTTTGTGATTTTTCATAACTTTTTCTTCCATTTTGAAGTTGGAGTTTGAAATAAAACTTATGAAAGAATGTGCCAAAATTTCCAATGCTATCTTTAATTATCTGTCCAAATTCAATGGTCTCCATACCTTTTCCACTTAATAATAAGCACACATTCATCCCTTCCCTATGAACACAGCATTTCTGGACTTTATGTTATTCTGTTAACATAGATGATGTTTGTGTGATGTTGTTGTGAGTATTTCATTGAATATGCTTTGTTTTTATTTTGAGCCTCCTTTACCTTAGGTTTTTAGTCAATTGATAGCTTTCATTAAGGTTTCCAACATGTAGCCTTGGAAATTTATACTAATATACGAATGCAGAGTAGACCTAGAATGTCATGTGCAGGCAACACATTGGTAGGCTGAGACTGGGGAAGACTGGAACTAGGCTTAGCTGAAAAGAGCTTCAGGGATGAAGACTTAAAGTGTGCTACTGGCGCCCACGAAAAACCACTGAAAGATCTTTAGTAATTAAGTGATCTGATATATTTTGAATTTTAAGAGATTCCTTTGATGCCAAGGTAAATGAGGACAGATGAGAAGAAGGACAGAGTTGGAGACAGAACCTTGCGGCCGGGAAAACATACAGAAACTTAACAGCATTAAAGTGTACCAAGTCTCTGACTAGAACAACGGTGGCGAAAGAACTGTCTAGAAAATAGAGGTGACACAATTTTATGGTTAGTTGGATAGGCCAGGAATGAAGAATGGTCATGCCTAAGATATCTTGTACAATTCTGTTTTTAGTGATAGGAATATTACTAATTAAGCCATTCTAGGCTTAATCTTACATTCTAGTAAGATAATAATTCTTTTTTCCAAAAGGAAACAAAATTTTATAGAAATAATAGTATTGATCCTAATATGAAAGAAAAATAGATAAAATTGTGTACATGATATACTATACAGTAAACAGGTATCTTGTCATATGAGAAACATAACATGGTAATCTACAATTTATGGAGAAATTCTTGAGAGGAAGATTTTTAGCACTGGAGTTGTTTAACTTGGCCATTAGACATAATATTAATGTTAGAGAATATGATTAATTTGAGCCCAAGTTGAAAAGGAATTTAATGTAAACACCTGTACCATACCGTGGTGATAGGAGCCCCCTGTTTGGAAAAGATTGGACAAAAAGGGTTCAGTTTTCCATAGGACACACTTGACAAAGGAGGACTGGAAAAGTGGAAGAAAATGCAGTTGAAACGCTGAAAGGTACTGTGAGGGCGATCGAGCAAAAGAGGCTTCAGCAGGTTCCAAGCTTGAACCTCTGTTTTATTTCCGTAATTTAACCTCCTGGTCACATTGTGCCTGACATTGTCTCTACCCTGTGTGGCTGTCTGTCTGTCCCCCAAATGTTACTTGGCCTCGTCTGTTCAGCTACTGTCAGTTTCAAGCCACTTTGTAGTAGTTCTTTCCCTACAGCTCTCCCACAGCAAAAATACACTCTCAACGTTGAACTGGCCTCTTAGAGCAGGGCGCTTGTCACAGTCATTGTCTGAAGCACGTAATCCTGTTTTCTTGCTTTCCTATTTTATCATAGATAGACCAAAAATACTGACTGATAAAAGCTACCCAAGGAAGCAGTTTGTACAAGTTTTACCAAATTGTTAACAATAGACATTTTGGTGTTTCATCATCCCTCCTCTCCCATCTGATAAAGGTAAGAGACGCAGCTTAGGACCCACCGGGTTTGGGGTGATTGTGGAACATCCGATTGCAGATGCTTTGTCATCAGCTGAATACTTGGGGTTGGATGTTCAGAGAAGGTGGGGAAATACTTAAGAATCATTGGTTTATAAGTAGCAGTGTACTGAGATTTGGAAGTGCTTCATTCCCAAAGAGATGTGTTGGGATCTCGGTCCCCAGCACAGTGATGATAAGGAGCCCTGGGATCTTTAGAAGGTAGAGTCTGGTGTAAAGTCCCTGGGTCACTTGGAGCAGCTCCTGAAGGTGCTGTCCTGTGTGCCTGAGTTCGTTTGCATGAGAACAAGTTGTTCTAAGAGCCCCTCTTAGTTCTCTGGCCTCCCTCTCACCCTGTGATTTCCTACTTACTGTGCCACAGCCACTGTGATGCCACCTGCCCACAAGCTTTCACTGGGGCATCAGAGTCACTTTTGTGTTATTTGGACATTAAGCCTCCAAAACTGAGCTAAATGAAACTCTTCAACTCATAAGTGTCCAACCTCAGATATTTTGTCATAGCAATGGACAATAGACTGACACAGAGGTAAAGGAAGGGAAGGGAAGGGAAGGGAAGGGAAGGGAAGGGAAGGAAAGGGGAGTTGATAATTAGCTTGTTTCTAGGAATATAAAGGACAGGAAAGAATATGATGAATAGACATACATCTACAAGGTTAACATGTAGCTATAAATATGTTTACACATACATAAAACAGATACAGAAAAGATAAGAGAGGTTCAGTCAAGCAGGGAGATGAAATGCTTGAATTTAAAACTCCATGTTCCAGGTACATTTCCAGAATGATCTCATTAAATCCATGCTTTTAGCCATTATTCACACATTGATAATTAAACTCTGGTGGTTGGTGACATGATCTTTATAGCATTGCTGTACATTAGAAAGAAGCAGTATAGGGAAATAAAGCGCCCACAGGCAGGTCAGTGAGTAGACATTTGACGTCTTTACCTTTATTTTCATTCTTGTTGTCCATCCAGTATCCAGAGGTTAGGTTATAAGTTACTGAGTCACTGGCTTGAAAAATGTGAGATTTGCAGCACCTTTAATTCCTGCAGTGCTGTTAAAGCCTGGTACCCCAAACATTACAAAACCCCCCCCCCCGAATCCAGTATATCAAGTCTGTTTCCTCTACTTTTTCTCAATCTCGTTTTTCTGTAAAATTTCACTATTATGAGCCTGGATCACAAAATTTCATTCTTGCCATAGTGGTTGAGCTGACTCCTGAAGAGGAGCTGAGAATTTTTTTAACAATGACAATAACAAGACTTCTCTCCTCACCTCCAGATACATGAGCATCATCCCCTGTTTCTTATTTCATAACACTCATCACAAACAGTTTATTCAATGTCTGTTTTCTAGGGTAAGATCTGTGATGTAGCGATGTACTTTGTTTTTTCCAGCACTCTATCATGAGTGTGAAGGGGCATCCAGCAAATAACAGACACCTGATGTTTGTTAATTGGAAAACATGATAATAAGTGCTTGCTGGGATTTTTTTTTTTTGGAGGGCCTTGAATGCTAAGTTGTACTTGATTCTCGAGGGCATGGAAAACAAGTGAATATGAGACCTGAGGAATGGACAGAGTAAAACCTACTGTTTAGCAACGTGAATCCAAATGAGAAGGGTCACGGATACAAGTATAGAATCATACATGATGCCTACCATTGGCTGAACAGATTTTTAAAATGTGATAAATATACATGATGGAATATTATTCAGCTCTTAAAAATTAAACCCTGTAAAAATATCCAATTCACTGTTTCAAGATGTGCTGTAACTTAAGTGTCTCCTGCATATGAGGAGCAGGACACAGGCCATCAGCCCTCCTCTGCTTTTGGAGAAAAAATAGAACACTGGCACTTCAGGGCCACCAAGAAGATGGGACCTTCTCTAGGAAAAATGGCCTGAAGCAAAGAAGAAGAAGAGCTCGGACATGACAAATTCCTGCATTAGCTAAGTGATCTTTCATTTTGTTCCTCATGAATGTATTTCTTATTCTATACCATCCAGATAGTAACACGAAAGATCCATAACCATGTTATGACATCGATGCATGGATACTATTAAGGTTGTTCGTGAGCGCAAGAAATGTCACTAGCATCCTTCACCATGAAAAATTGTAGTTCCCTTCGCAAAAGTGCTGTACATTGCAGAGGATGTGTGAGATACATTTTTGAATGAATTGAGTGTCAGACTGAGTTCCGCAGGTAGAATCCTTGTGCCCATTCTGAATTCCATGGACTGCACGAAGACATAACAGATCTCCTTTTCATACTTGCTCTGAAGTTCACTGACATTTTAGATAATAGAAGGCACCATTTAGAACAGGAGGGATCTTTAGCTACTCCAGAGAAGTTGTCTGAATATTAACATGAGGCTTTTGAGAAAAAAAAAAATAACCTTGACCTTCTAAATTGTACCTGTTCAGGAAGGCTAAGGATCATGAACTGCTAAGCTATTCATATTAATAAAGTGTGTGCAGGAAAAATCATATTCATTTGCATAAGCTTCTTCTCTCTGTAGCCCATGAAATTAACATTGTTTAATGGCTGGAAATACGATCACCTTTCGCTGTATCAGTCACACTCTCTTCTCCAAAGGAAAAGATAGAGGGTCTTGGCTCAGTAAACTGGAAACTGTTTTAAATTACAAGTGCTTTCGGGAGACAATCAGTGCGAGCCCAGGTGCCAGGAAGTGTCAGATCCAGATGAATATAGGTTTCCATGAAAGCCCATTCCAACACAGCCTTCCTGTCCACCATCTCATTCAATCATTTTATTCTTTCTATTGACATACATATGTGGGAGGTGTTTGAATAGCTCTTGGCCCTACCTTCAAAGGCCTCACTGTGTCCAGTGAGAAGACAGTAACCAATTTTATCCTTGGGGCTGTGGGACAACTGCCATAGTGCATGTGACGTTTGCACTGGGCTCTGAAGACCATGCAGGAGTTCTCAGGTTAGGAAGGAGAAAAACGATCTGGCTAAACTATTACAGTGCTATGAAAGGAGTTTTGGTTTTGAAGAAAAAGCAAGTAGTTCAGTGTGATGGAGGGTTATCTACATAATTTGTAGGACTTAGTGAAAAACTAAAAATACTGGGCTCTTTGTTTAAAAAAAAACAGGAAAAATGCTATCCTTTTTAATCTTTTTAATCTCTTTCTGGTCTCTTCTCTCCTGTCATTTATTTGCTATTTAATGTATTACCACAGAGTGGAATAAAGCCAGTGCCAGCTACGGTGATGTGTGCTGTGATCTTTGCTTTCTGGGAGGCCAAGGCAGGGAGATCATAAGTTTAAACCTAGGCCAGGCAACTACTGACTTCGTAAGACACTGTCTCCAAATATATACATTAAAAAAAAGGGCTGAGGATGTAGCTCAGAGTGAAGCCACATACCCAGTGATTCAGTCCCCAGTGGTAGATTCAAACATATGAATACACAAACAGAGTACATTACGATTTGTTTGAGGTGCAGAGCTAGGAGTATTTACTTCATATGTGGAAGCAGTGGAGTCACTCAATTCTCTCAGGAGAAATACGTTAGTGGAGGCTGAGAGATGTGGTCTGTATACACAGTGGAGTATACTCGACCTGAATAAGAGTAAATGTCAATCATTTTCAGGAAATTGGAGGACTTTGGGACTCACAATGCTGGGTGAAATAACTCAACAGAGAAGGTTAAATGTCTCATGGTTTCTCATGTATGGGAGGAGCTCAAAATACAAAGAACAGACCCACGCAGCTGGCTATAATGTGGCAAGTGTATGTATGAGGTAGAAAGAGGTTATGGTGGGGGTAGGCTGGGCCCACATTGTGAATGACCATGTTTGACAAGCTGTGGAGTTTGGAATTGATAGCTTGGTATCAGAAGCCAAAACTTTGTTGTTGGGTATGAAAACGGTACATCATACCTAGGTTTCATGAAACTAACCCTGAAGCCAAGGAAAAGACTTTGGAACGGTGCCAGAGGAGGGCCTAACTGGACAAGGCCGCAGTGGATGTGCAAAGCTACCTCAGGAGGGCAGTTCTGAGAGGAGGAAAGGGAACCCTAGGGGTTCCAGACATGAGTTTGGCAAACAAGATAGTGAGAGACATAAGTGAACAAAACAGATTTCTAACATATTAGTATTTTGTTTTCGGCCTGAACATCACACCCTTCAGTGCCAAGTCCTCTAAAGCACAAACAATAAACATTCACCATCATATGTGTTTCACTCCTTGCAGTCTTGCAAAACTGACCACTACTGCTTTGATTCATCGTAGGCTGCATTTCGTGAGCACACCCTGCGCTGTGCTTATGTGAAGACTCTGAGCTCATGGAAACATTTAAAAAAGGGTGGATCAAGAATGCCTTTGCGGGGGCTGGGGGTTTAGCTTAGCGGCATAAGCACCTGCTTGCAAGCAGGCAGTCGTGAGTTCGATCCCTGGTACCGATAAAAACGAAAAAGACAAAAAAAAAAAAAAAAAAAAAGAATGCCTTTGCAACTCTGAGTTCATAACAGGTGATAAATATTTTGACCACCAAAGGCAAAGACCTTGTCATATCCCAACAACCAGAAAATATACTCCATATGCAAAATAACAACTTGTTATCTCATGGCTTCCTGTAGCTCACTGATAATTAGTATATCAAGACATTTCACATAAAAGTCATTCAGAGGGTGAACCAGTGATTGAGGCTGAGAAATATGAGAGATGCTGACCTTCCTGCCACCAGGATCCGCTATCTCCTTGTCGGAATAGGTGAGATGTGTTAATCACCCATTTACTAATTTACTTCAACAAAGGTGCTAATTGAAAAGGTGACATACTCAACTTTTTGTTTTATTCAGTAGAATGCTTTTCTGGGACTTATTGCTGTTATCTTAGTTTAAAACATTCTTTAAAATGTTGTCTGGATTATGGGAAGGTAGATTCTCTCTTCTCAACTAGACAACAATTACTGGCATAACTTCTCCGATACAAATATTTTAGAAATTGAGAGTCTATTAAAAGCAACTTCCGGGGGGGAGGTTTAAACAGTAAATTGCTTTGTTTTTTAATTTCAGCTGTGCTAGTAGCGACCCTCCCGCTCTGTGGCAGACAGCTCTGTGTGTGTTGTAGAACAACTTACAGGAGCTAGGGTGGGCACACAGCATCCCGTCTTTTCCACACTGGGTGCCTGTCCTCTGATTATTGCTGTTGCCCACAGAAGTGCAGACAAAGCGGAAGGGGAAATTGTTGTTTCACCCCTGTCCATGGTTATAAATCCCTTCCCCCTGGCTGGAGTGATTTCCAGGGGGTTTAAGTAACCTGTAACCTTTCCCCTTTCCCATTCATTTTTATTTTTCTCTCACTTTTGAGAGCCAAGCATGAAAGGCCAGGACACGCAAACTCAACTAATTTCACAGCTGTTGCAGTCAGGAGTTGCAAGGAGAACAATTACATATAAGACACAGAATTTATAATATCATTTCATGATTAACACCCAGAGGAAAATACAGGAAAACACAGGAAATCTGTCTATAACACTAAAGAAAATACCTGCAAAAGCCTTATGTTAGTACTTCAGGCTGATCCTTGGGACATCTTATAAGCATTACAAAAATTTAAAAAGATGAACAAAAGAGTAATAACATCCAGAAAACCATGGGGTTGGAGAAAAGTCTGACTCCAGGGTCATGTAAATGTTGGATTCAAATGTATAGTTTTTCATTAAAATCTCCTAAGGCATAAAGGAACATAAAAGAGCAACCCATTCAGAAAAAAGAAAAAAACCCCAAACCAACAGAAACTGTCTTTGAAAAGAGTCTCAAGTCAGACCTGCTGGCCAGAGACTTCAGAACAACTGTCTTAAAAGCACTCTACTACTAATGGAAGATGTGCAGGAAAGCCAGCAACCTCTCAGCAAACAAAATGGAAATATCTGGGGGCTTTAATAGGTAAATAGATGCAACCTGAATCTGTAATCATAAGTGAAATAAATCAGTTCCATATGTCGTAACTCTGTATTGTCTCTGCTCGTTTGAGAAACTGAATGAATAATAAGATCTAAAAGTACAATGGACATTGTGAATTGGGAAGAAACTGCTCAAAAGAAAAGACAACCTATGATGAGGGAAATGAGAAAGGAAGAAAGGGGAAAAGAAAAAGATATGCGTACACAAGATAGTTAAGATAGTTACACAATTAGTTTCTCTTAGTTTATTAAAAAAAAGGTTGTGCTAATGTTGTTTGGACCAGGTATCATGCTTGTATTTTGGGTGCTAAATACAAAGACCACAGTATGCAATGTATTAATTATTATAACTGTCCTACTAACCTGTTTTGAAACTGTTTCATTGTTATTTTATCTTTTTCTCTTTAAAATAAAAAAAAATAAAGAGGTACAAACCTTATCTAGAAATAGAGCATAAATTATGGAGTTGAGAAGTACAATAACTGAAATTAAAAATATGCTAGAGGAAGTGAAAGGCAGATGTTAGCAGGCCCAAGATGGAACTGGTAATTTGAAGGTAGTGTAAATCTATCAGATCTGAAGAACAGAAAGAAAAAAGACTGAAAGAAACTGAGCAAAGCTGAAGGCACCTGTGGAGCAGCATACACATTGTAGTCGCCCAATAAGAAAAAAGAAGAAAGCAGAAAAGAAATATGGAGAAATGTGGACTGGAAACTTCCCCAATTTGATGAAAGACTTCCAAGAAATTCAACAAACTCAAGTAACATGATCTTACGGAGGTTCACATGAAAACACACTGCACTCAGCTTCCAAATGTGAAAGACAGAGACTCTTGAAAGCAGTAAGAGAAGTGACTTCTTGTATGTCACGGATACTCAATAAAAATGTTGAACCCAGAAAGCTGCACAGAGATATGTTAAAAATGTAAATTAAAGAAGATATCAGCCAAGAATCCTACATCCAGAAGTGCTGTCTTTTAAAAGTGAGGGAGAAATCAGGGGATTTCGGTGTAGGAAAGTTGTTCACCACTGGTAGGCTGCACTGTGAGGGCGCTCAAGGCCATCCTACAGCGGGAAATGAAAGGACAATGGACAAGAGTGTGAAGCTGCCTGAGAAATTAAGGTCACCATAAAGGTAAGTACATGGGCAAATATACAGTTTTTAGCTCTATTTTTTTATGTTGTGCATGATTTAAGAAAAAAAAATATTAAAGAGATTGGAAATCTCAAAGCTAATACCATTGCAATTATGGTTTGTAACTAATTGCTGTACACGTATGGCGATGGTCTAACATGGTGGAAGGCCAAAGCAGGACACTTACCCGTGGGCCACTCCCTCCTTCTTCCCCTCCTGCCCAAGTTGTTACTTTCCCATTTGCATGTGAAGAAAATTCCAGTCAGTCCCTTGCACATCATCAATGCCTGTCCCACGTGCCACTTCCAACCAGAGATCGTATAACCCTCTGCTCCTCTGGATCGGGTCAGAAGGAGAAAGCCAAAGCCCCACGGGTTGTGGACTCCTCTTTGTGTCCTCAGGAAATGGCCACTTTCACTTTCTTTTCTTCTGCTTCTCTATTGTGCTGGAAAACTCTTAACACTAATTCTCCTCAACTCTTTCCAAAAATTTTCAGAGAATATATCAAGTTGTTTATGAAGCCAGGATTATATTGATTGCAAAGCTCGACAGTGAAACTATAAGAAAAGGAAATTACAGACGGGTGTCTTCAAAGAAGACTGATGCCAAGAATCTCCAACAAAATACTAGTACAAGCATATTAAAAGATTACACACTATGGCAAAGTAGGAAGTTTTCTTGGAAAATAGAAAAATCAATCAATGTAATATGCTATACTGACAGAATGAAGGAAAAGAAACAATAACTTACATGATTGATCATCTAAATTAATGCCAAAAAAACCCTGACAATTCAATGCACACTCAGGATAAAAAGCATTCGATAAACTAGAAGTAGAGCAAATCGTAAACACTTTATCAAAGCCACACATAAAAATCTCACAGCAAACATCATATTCAGTGGGAAAACACTGAAAATTTTTGTTGTAAGATCAACAGTTGTTTTTACCATTTCTATTAAATGTAGTAGTATTAAAATATTAATTCAGTGAATTTATAGAAATAGGATATAAGGTAATATGCCAAGCTCAGCTGCCTTTCTCTAGACAACAAAGGGAAACATAAATAATAATACTATTTATAATAGCATCTAAAAGAATAGAATGCTTATATTTAACCAAGGTGAAAAAGATGTACAAAGAAAGCTATAAAATATTGCTGAAAT